GTTCTCCTTGATACAAATACTAGATTAGGGTGTTCCCCAAAAGAACACCATCAAACTCAGAAGCAAACATCTTATTTCATAAAATATCAAATACAAGGCTAAATTAATAAATAGGCTGGCCCAAAGAAATGCAAAAAATCTCGGTAGAACAAATATGGAGCTGAGCATTCTGGTTTCCACTTGTAAGCCCAAGACTGGGGAAGCTGTGACAAGAAAAAAACAACATTAAATCACACTCTAAAAAAAATCTTTAGTGTCTGTTTAACACTAGCCATGTTGTCAATTTTCAGCAAACGTATTGAATGTTCACATCACAGAAACATCAACATGTAAATATAAACTCTTTTAAAGGCACTTAATAAAGTATGGTAAAGCATATGAAAATCATGCACAAATGAAATACATGTGAAGAATAAACAGAAATAAGAGTATTAATACAATCCTATAATTAAAATATTAAAGTATTGACATTGCATCTAATATAAACTCATTCAAATACAGCAACAGAACAGATATAAGATCATTCACGATACAGTCATATATATGATATTGTCATATGTAGTATATTCAGACATATATAAAAATATAAATAAATAGAAATTGAAACTAGCATTACCTAGCAAACCATTATAGCCTAATCTATTGCCTACATATCAAAATTCCAAGTTGTTGTGTAATGTGAATGTATGTGGTAGGAGTACTTACGCAAAACCAAAATGAGTATGCACTTGAGCTTCAGTGGGCCAGCTCATGTACCATGGTTGAGGAGAATCTAGATGGAATCCAAGTATCATGTTGGGAGAGTAATCTAGAGCTTTCAAAGGGTGAGAGCTGAGAGTTGGTGGGGACCAAAATGTTAAACACACCAGAGAGTTTCTTGCTGAGCACTACAAGACCTATGGAGCACTAATATCCAACTCTTACCAGCAAGACAAATTAAGCAGACGTGAGCATAGTCTTTCATTTTTTTCTTTCTTTTCTTTTTCGGTTTTATTTAATTTCATTTGCAAACCAATTCCAGTTCCCCTTCCCTCCCCTTCTCCCATCCATATTCCCCTATATCTCACTCCCACGCAATCCTCAGAGGGGGTAGGACCTTACTGAGAGGGTTGGTCCTGTCTCAACTTGGTATGTCTTTCTAGTGGTCTGAAAAGTACACAGTACAGCCTGCATCTCAACCTCAAGGACCATGCATGATAGGACACACCAAGAGAGAGGCTTGGAGATTTTAGCAACATTCGCAGGAACACCATACCATCTGTACCTTCTATGGAAAGTGCCCAGAAATAGTTCTATCTGTAGATCCAGAGCAGTGAACTGGTGAATTGGGCAGACACAGGCTACCATAGCAGCAGCTACTGAGCTTGATGGCTCCTGTTGCATTCCAATGTTAATTAATATTAATAACAGACAGTTTGTTTTTGTCTATTAACTAGTGTAAAAATAAGGAATTAGAACACATTACAGAAAATGTACCATTCTTGACGTAGTAATATCTAAAATGAAACCTTAACCCAATATCACCTACCTCCATCAACAAAAACTCAAGTCCACCTCCTCTCTTATCTCTCTCAAACCATATTTCTGTGTTCATCTTCTGTCCAATTGCTGGACCTTGAACAAAGATTAAGTCCCAGTTTTAAACACTGAAGACAGCACAGCATCCAACTAAATTCTTCTTTACCAAACTGCTAAACAACATTGTGGCAAAGGTGACCTGCCTACCCTTAAGAAGAGATACTGAAACTTGTTACTTAGAAAATGACTAATTAGAACATATAACAGAAAATACGCCATTCTTGACTGTAACAGAATTTAAGCTGAACCTAAAATGAAACCTTGCAAAAATTTACAAGATCCTGTTGACAGTAAAAATAAAAATTTACTCATAAACTTAGAGGAGTAAGCCCAACCGCTTACGTGCATTCAAGAGAAAGTCTGTTGTGAAGGTATGACTTCCAAAATTTGCAGTACAGTTTCTTATCAATGGTTTCCAAGATATCAGTCAAGATATGACTGCTGTTTCCAATGCCCGAAAAAAAAATTTAAAGGAATAAATAATTAACATCATGTAGTATAACAAAATGAGAGAGCCCTGAGGCACTCAGAGTCTTTTGACTTGGTTCCTGTGTGACGGGAAGCTCTGGAACAGAAACAATTAGGTAACGTTTAATATATGACAGGTGGAGATAGGTTCAGGTAGAACCTATCTACCTTTCTTGTTTCTTTTTCATTTCTTGTTTCTTGTTTCTTTTTCATTGTACCTTGGAGGAGAAAAGCCCTACTATACTACTGATGGTGTGGAAAGTACTACTTAGAGGAGCCCATGGAAACAGGATAAACATTTGGGTTGGCCTAGTCAGTAAATCCAGGAATCCTAATAACCACCACCTGAAAGCTCATCAGTAGCTGGTTCTGGTGTACACAAAGTGAGAATTCTATGTGATCCTATTACTTTCACCTTCATAGATTACAAAGGATGAACTAAAATGGAATAGGAAAAATAAAAGTGAATCATATAACAAGGGTATGAATTCATTCCTGAAACATTTGGAAATGCCCATGATGTAAGTGAAGGAAGACTTCAGTCTCAACTTTCAGGATCCTCGTTTTTGTTCTTGGAATTTTGTATGCCATGGTTTAAGGAAGGATAATTAAAATCAGGAATATCAGGCTCTGTCAGCAGTCAGCCTGACAATATGAATTAAAGCAGAAGGGCTTCAAAACACGAAGTACACAAGACCTCAAAAACCTCCCTCAATTTATCTGTGCACCAGCAATTGCCAGAAACTGTTAGGTCTTTGAAGCCCAAAATGTAGTGAGCAAAGAAAGTCACCTTACAACAGTCCAGTTTGAGGGTGCCCTTCCAAAAGGAAGAGACAAGCAGAGTTGTAGTCACAGTTCTTGATAAAATTCCACCTTATTTCCTAACTAGAACTCACAGGGAAAAAAGATCACTGATTTGAGATCTTTAGACTCACTTCAGAAAATGGAAAAGGCTTTGAGCAAATGATTAGTCAATTATTATTGTGAGGTATTAGGAAACTCTCACCTTCTGGATCAAAACAGGACTGACAAAGCCCCAATGGTTTCTGTTCTATAAAACAGGTCTACTATATCCTGGAAATCGAAGACCCTGACTTTAGCATTATACCTTCAGTATTACTGGTGTGGGCTCTGTTCGGCTGAATAAAGCATCCTAAGTGTTGTCAGGTGAGTAGGTGTATAAAAGGAGAAATCTGTGAAACCTCTTTAAAACCTTCTGAAAACTGCCATCTTCCACATCCTGAAAAGAGGCTCATACAGGAATAAGGTAAAGAGACCCAATGCTGGGATGATTCAGCATCCTAACCACAAGATAAACTAGATATACATAGAGCACTATCCATAATCAGAACTGCTCCATCTCACTTCCTTATCGGGGCTGGAATATAAACTCATGGAGATTATGAAAGCATGCACAAACACTGAGCAAGTTTAAGCCAGATCAAATTCTAGCATGAAGACAGAAGGTAAATATGAATTCTCACCCCTAGCAGAGGCACTTTTGATAATTGATAGCTACTGGGAGAAAGAGAATCTACCTTCTTTAAGAGGGTTAGACCTGGCAAGTCTTCCATGCTCCAATGGAAGTCCACACATCCAGGAATACAAGAGCAATGAAACTGAGCTTGATGAGTGGGTTAAAAAGAGAGGGCATGGAATTGTGTCAATAGGGAAGAAGGGATTCATTTGGGAGGAGTTGGGAGAGAGGGTAAAATATGATCAAACAATACTACCTGAAATATTCAAAGAAATAATTTTAAAGGAAGGGAGATTTTCTGTCTGGGACACATTGGTTCATCTCAAGAGGGGCACAACACAACCCAGGCAAAATAAAACAATTTCCTTGAGTTGTCTGGCAATCCTCTTCCCTGGAATAAGAGAGAGGGCTAGTATATTTTCAACTTTGGGGTTCTATTCATGGGACCAGATAGATACACAGTAAAGGAGAAAGGGTGGAGTTGTGAGACCTTGACTTCTTCTTTCCCTTACTTTCCGACCAAGTAAGGCCTTGCTTGGTCTGAGAGGTACAGCTTCCTGTCTGGTGTGCTGTTAACTGGTGTCAGATGCCTTAAAGGATAATCAGAATTTAAAATGTGGCAAAGTGAAATCAACTGTAAATCCTCCAAACTATAATCTACCTGAAAAGGAGGTCACAAAGGCCCTGCCTCTGCTCTGGTCTTCAGAATCCTCAGACATAGCAGGTAGTTAGACTCAGTGGCAATGGATTTCCCCTGCTCTTCTCAGGAATAAAATCCTACCTGGAAAACGGAAGAGTCCAGAGAAGAGAAAGCTGTACCCTAATTACTATAAAGTCATGAAAATTAAGGGGTATTAAAATCTGGGTTGGGCAGGGTAGTGGCATGCAGAACTGTTCACCTCTATGGTGGACTTCTCATGCTCAATGGCAAGCCTAAAGATCGAGTTGCCTTTGATATTTGTCATTGGGAAAAGAGGGAAGTGAAATACTTATTCTGAGGAGAGTCTGTCACTATGGGATGGTGTAGGCTCATAGTGAGGATATTGATCACAGTGGGAACTACATTCCTGATAAAAGCAGGGATCCACAAATATCTCCCTTTTTGCCTACACTAGTAATCTGTGTTTGCTCCTGAATGAGTGGTAGGCGTGACATGTCTTCTTAAATTGTCTTCTGTATGATACTAGGAAGCACTGCAGTGTTAACAACAGAACAACAGAGGGATGTGTAGGTATCCAGACTGTACCAAAAACCTTTTAGCAAATGAGGATCAATGTTAGCCCATACTCTTACCCCAGGATGTCCCAAACCTGTTCATCATGCACTCATCTAACCAGAATTTATTTCCTCCACAGATTTCTCAGGACACAGATTGCCTAGGATAATAGGAGCACGGTGAGTTCCCAGAAACTTGTATAGGAAAGCAGCATAGTGGGGGCCTTGTTAAAGGAAAGGTACTCTCTAATGTAATGAAGGCATGGTGCTCACACAGTGTCATTTTGCCCCTTCAGATTTATGCTTTGCCAGTCCTCCTGCTTACATCCTTACGCTGCTGTGCTTGAGCCAAGTCATTATGCCTAGGGGCCACAAGAGTAAGGGCCGCTCTCGTGCTAAACGTCAAAACATACAGGAGAAGAGTCAAAGTCTGCCTAATACTGAGCCCACTGCAGAGGAGGAGGCAACATCTTCTATTGATCAAGGGAATCTTCCCAGCTCCCCTGATACCAACATTTCCCAGGATACTCAAGGGGATGTAGCTTCTGTTTCTGATGATTCGGGAGTGTTGACAGGTGCTGTAGGTGGTGAGACTTCTGATACAAATGCCGAATCTCCAGTTCTAAGTGCTGAGAGACGTTCATTCAACTCCATTATAGTCTCTTCCTTTCACTCTGCACGCAAAGATCCTCTTCTCAGGAAGACACGTGTATTGATGCAGTTTGTACTACAGAAGTTTAAGGTCAGAGAGTCCTTTACACGGGGAGATATGTTGACGGTGATTAACAAGAAGTACAAAGAACACTTCCCTGAGATCATGAAAAGAATCTCTGTGCACCTGGAGATTGTCTTTGGCCTGGAGTTGAAGGTAGTTGATTCCAATACTCAGTCCTTTACGCTTGTGGGCAAGCTGGGTCTCTCCACTGAGGGAAGACTACGTAATAGAATTGGGTTGCCCAAGACAGGGCTCTTGATGACCCTCCTGGCTATGATCTTTGCGACTGGAAATAGTGCCACTGAGGAAGAGGTGTGGGAATACCTGAAAATAGTGGGGGTATTTCCTGGGCAGGATCATCCAATATTTGAGGAACCTAGAAAGTTCATAACAAAAGATCTGGTGAAGGAAAATTATCTTTCATACAGCCAAATTCTTGGCAGTAACCCCCCATGCTATGAGTTCAGGTGGGGTCCCAAAGCCTGTACTGAAATCACCAAGATGCAAGTCCTGTGGGTTGTATCCAAGATGAATAATACCGTTCCTGCTTTCTTTCCTCATCTATTTGGGGAGGCTCTGGTTGATGAAGCTAAACGAGCAGCAGGGAGAGTTACAATTCTGCCTGGCACTGTTGTCAAGTCCAAAACCCATCTCAGGTGAGAGGCCCACAGCTCTCCCCACATCTAGCTGGGTTTAAGAGTCTTCCAGTCTGTTGAAGAATTGTCAGCCTTCTATGTAGTAAAATATTATAAACTAGTATTATAAGCTAAAAGTAATGAAGTTTGTATCTTATTGTCCTGCTATAGATGAGAAAATTACAGATATTTTATTCTTTGTTATATTGCAAATGTTCTATTAACCAAAGTTAATTGTCTCACAGTCTATGCTTCTTAACATTTTATTGGACATGTTTATTGCTATTTGTCAAGTTTTTAGATGAATTTAATGATTTTAAACAACTTAGTACAGCATAAATAATTTTAAAAACATTATAAGTTTGCATAGGTTTGGAAAATTGATTTTTATAAAACTGTTGTATCAATAAAGGTGTGTTAAAAATGTTTATATCATAGTTTGATGTATATTTTATACTTTACTTATTGTGTTAATTAAAATAAATTTGGAATTAAGATTACTCCAATTGCATGAGAAATTATTTGTAATAATTCAATCTTTCACTCTTTTTAATACTTTGTTTTTATATGAGCATTAATTAAGCATCTGCTCTAAGTAGTTTCCATTAATAGTACTAGAGATGGTCCAAAAAATTATCTACCAGTCACTCAGAAAAATTGATAGCCTGACAGCAAGTACATATAAGGAAGAGGATGAGATAATATGTAAGCTACAAAGAGCAAGACAAAAATATGAAGAAGGGGTTGAGGGTATGTGTACGGCATGTATGTGTATATCTATGTCCAAGAGTATGTGCAACTATGCGCCTATGCATATAAGACGAATCCAGAGGAGGGTACTAGGTAGCCCACTTCATTATTTTACAGATTATTACCCTGATACAGAGTCTCTCACTGAAGCTGGAGCCAAGACAATGGCCAGAAAGCTTTATGGATATCCTGTATCTGCTTTTATACAATTGGGGGAATTGGCCCATATGTGACCATGTATAAATTTGTACATGGACACCAAATCCCTGGTTCTTATGCATACTCAGCAAGTATCTTTACCTCCTGAGCTACCTCCCGAGACCTCTAAAATTTAATATGAGTAATATTTTGTGGTTTTATAAGTCAAAAGTACATTTTAATAATGTGAAGAAGAAATCCTGGGCCAGCAAAGATTCTCTGGAATGAAGACTAAGTGAGCACAGTGTATAGGGAGAGGACATTAACTTTAAGAAGTTAGTTCTCCTTGTTATCTCTCATATTCTTATATATCAACTGAGTGACTGGTCTTTGTGAAGTTCTCTGCTAGTAGTGGTGATGCTCAGGAAAAGATCAAACTTCATCCCATAGAATCTCAGAACCAAGGAATTAAAATCTTATGAGGAAAATATTACCATGCCCAATGGGAATTACAGCAAAATAAGGAGAAGAGATAAAAGTGAGCATAAAGTTTCTGAGGCAAGGCACTTTGGATTTTGAAAACTTCAACTCAATATAATGTGATATAATTTTAAAGTAAGCTGCATTATTGGTTATATGAGCCTATGAGACTGATAAACAGTATACAGGCCTCCATATGATATATCAGAATATTGAAGAAAGATTTCTGAATGGAAAACTATAAAGGTTGTAAAATTAGGCTTTAATGTTACATACTGCCTTGACACTTGGTGGAACCAGCAGGACCTCAAGTGATCAAAACATGTACTGAAATTGCATAGGATAGGATGTTTTTTTCTTGTTTATCATAACCTGACTTCTAGAGACCTTGTTATTTATCATGTGTGAGCAAACACATGTGGCCCTCTGTTTCAACTTATATAAGACTCTCCTATGACTATAATAAGCATGTGGATGATTAATTAATCTTACCTATATACTATCTAATGTGTGTTTAAGTATCACATAATCCTATTATGGAATTTCTTCCATAATCCACACACAGAGGACATGAGTCATTATAACATATGATTATTAAGACTGTTGTGGTTAGAGACAATCCAGAAAGAATGTGTATGTAGGAAAATCTATTAACTTGTATGAGATACTATGAGAGTATCACATTGGCTTAAATATGGTAAATTTATTTTCCATAATTCTGGAAGCCAGAAGTCCAATATTAAGATGTCAGCAGATGTGATTTCCTGTGAGGACTTTGTCATCAGCCTAAGTGGCATCTTCTTGCTGTCTATCCATAGGTCAGTCTCTATTCAGGTGCACATCTTTTTCTTTTCTTCTGTACCCAAAATCTTCAAATAAGAGCATTCCAGTCCCACTGTATGTGTGATTATCCTAATGGCTTAGCATTAATTTGAAAATCTCATCTTTAAATATGTTAAATTCTGGTATACTGAGCAACATGACTATTGAAGCGAGGGAATACAATAAAAATTCTAAAGGGCCCATGGATTATAGCATGATTATCCTTTATTTAACAGCTAATATCTAGTTATAAGTGAGTACTTACCATGTTTCTCTTTCTGGGTCTGGGTTGTCTTGCTCAGAAAGGATAAAAAAAGAAAGAGGGCTCTTGGGGGGCACATAGATCTTTCTGGGAAGGGGAAATAGAAAAGATTTTGTGGGTTGCCTGGGGATGGGTAAGGATAGGAATAGGAGAGATCAGGAGGGGTTGGGAAGGAACAACTAGAATTGGAGGCATGTAGGGCACAATGTGGAAACCTAATGCAGTGGAAAATTCCTCAAGGCTCAGAAACCTAGGGTAGAACAAAACACAACTGACAAAAAACATCAATGAAATGATTCCTAATGATATTCTGCTATACTCATAGATTGGTGCCTAGCCCAACTGTAATCAGAGAGGCTTCCTCCAGCAGCTAATGAGGAAGATGCAGAGACCCACAGCCAAACATTAGATGGATCTTGGGAAAACCTACAGAAGAGGTGAAGGAAGGATTGTAGGGGTCAGAGGAGTCAAGGACACCAAGAGAACACAGTCCAGAGAATTTACAAACCAGGGCTCATAGAGGCTCGGAGGCTGAAACAGCAATCATAGAGCCTGCATGGGTCTGAGTGAGACCCTCTACATATATATTGTGATTGTTTAACCTGGGGTTTTGTGTAACTTCTAATAAAGGGAGTGAGGTTGAGTCTTTTGTCTGCTCATGGGAACGTCTTCCTTCTACTGGACTGTCTTGTCCTGCCATGATATGCGTGTTTGCGCCTCATCTTATTGCATCTTGTTATGCCATGTTCAGGTGAACAAGGGAGGTGGGGGTGACTGGGATGAGTGGAGGGAAGGAATACTGTGTTGAGAATGTATTATATAAAAGAAGAATAAAAGAAAAATAAAAAGAAAATTATAATGGACAAGAATAAGAAATATTTTGGTTCCAATATATACTAGAATACAATGTTCGAATAGACATTCTTTGTGTATTGCCAGATAGTTGCTGAAGGATAATAGTAATATAGCCAAGGTGAGACATGCAGACACCATTGTGTTAGCACGGCTTTCCCAGAACTGTACTGAGTGTGCTTATTTGATAGAGTATCTTAAATGTATTTTGGTAAAACTTAAGGTAATATTTTTGTGTTGGCTGAAATGAATGAAAAAAGAGTGCAAATGGAAAAATAGTTGAAAGGCACTGAAAGATTTGATGCTCAGCAAAACTCTTGGAGCTTTGTAGTATATCTAGGTGGAGAATAAGCCCAATATCCAAATTGCATAGCATGTGTTACCATAGGAAAGAATCTAATTTTACTTGCTAAAGCAAAATTTTTGTTGTTATTTGAGAGCATTTCATTTTCTCTCATGTAACTCAGAAGATGGTGGTATTATCCAGTACAAAATTACTATACCTGCCATTCATTAAGTACTAAATATTTAGCAGTTACCTTGACAGGTATTTTATACATGACACATTCAATTATTATATAAAACTGGTTTGATTTAATAACAGAATAGCATAGACTAGGTAGCTTTAACAACAAAAAATATTTATTTCTTTATATCTTGGAGGACAGAATATCCAAGATCAAATATCTGGTCAACTGGATACCTTGTCAGGCCCTCATCCCTTTACATATTTTCTTTCTTGCTTCAGCCCCATAGTATGTAGACTGAGACACAATATTTCTGGTCTTTTCTCAAGAGGGTCGTAATGTAGTCTACCACAAAATTTTCTATCTTCATTAATCTAAATGTAGTAACATTTTGCTCGTAATCTAGCAAATAAATCTTGCCTGAAGATCAGAGTATAGAGCTAAGCCACTAGTTAGTCATAGAGGCCAGGCAGTGGTGACACTCACCTTTAACACTCAGGAGACAGAGGCAGGAAGATCTCTGCAAATTCAAAGCCACCCTGAGTGACACTAGATTGATCCAGCCTCAAAGAGGAACAGAGCCAGGAAACAGTGGCTCACACATTTAATCCCAGTACTTGGGAGTCACCTGCCTTTAATCCCAGCACTAGGGAGATGGAAACAAGAGTGACATGGCTTGGTGGAGAGATGAATATAAGATGGGAGGAGACAGGAGCTCAATGTAGTCTGGGGCAGGAGTCTGAAACAGTATGAAGATACAGTTAGTCTAAGGATTTGGAAGAAGTCTAGTGGATGGCTACACTGCTTATCTGATCTCTCAGCTTTCACCCCATAACATCTGACTCTGTGTTTTTATTTATTAAGACCAAATAGAATTTGTGTTACATCAAATATAATTATTGTCAAGCATAGTGCAATGTATCTTTTTTAATTATTTTTTATTATTTTTTAGAAAGAAAATCTTTTTACATTCTACATACCAATCCTGATGTGGGATTTCCCTCTATATGCTGTGATTGTCATTAATTGTAACATGAAGGGCCAGCTTGTTAGAGTTTCTGTCCAGCCCAATACCCCACAACCGGCAACCCCCAAAGAAAATCACATGGAGTCTACATTAGGTTATAAACTAATTGGCCCACTAGCTCAGTCTTCTTATTAGCTCTTGTAGCTTATATTAACCCATTATTCTCATCTATGTTAGCCACGTGGCTCAGTACCTTTTCCAGCAGGGCAGGTTATATCTTGCTTCTC